CAGGGTCATCTGGCAGTCTCCGGCCACCTAAATTAGGACCCGGAGACTGCCAGATGACCCCGCTCGGAGCGCCGCCCACCGGATCAGCAGTGACGCCACGCTCGGCGAGGTAAGTAAGAAACCTGACCAGCGTACTCACTTTCCTCAGTGCTCGAGACGCTTTGACCCCGCTCGGAGCGCCGCCCACCGGATCAGCAGTGACGCCACGCTCGGCGAGGTAAGTAAGAAACCTGACCAGCGTACTCACTTTCCTCAGTGCTCGAGACGCTGACTCGAGTATAAGCCGAGGGGGGCATTTTTCAGCACAAAAAATGGGCTGAAAAACTCGGCTTATACTCGAGTATATACGGTAGATATTCTCCTAAGACAGCGAAAACCTCACTTTTACTTAAATATTCAGGTTTGAGGTTTATTAATATTTTGGATTGACCAAGAACACTGTAGTTGTTCAATAATTAAATTAATCCTCAAAAACACAACATGCCTAACAATTGTGCACACAGTTTATTAAGCACCAGAGATTGTTGATCCAGGGAATATCCGATTGCCTTATGGGATTAGGAAGGAATTTTTTCCTCTGTTGGAGAAAATTGAACTATGCTTTGTATGGGTTTTTTTTTTTTTTTTTGCCTTCCTCTGGATCAACAGTGGATAACTGTGGGCATAGCGTTCTGTTTTGTAGGTTTTCCTTCCTTCTTTCCTTTTGTTTCCTCTATAGGTTGAACTCGATGGACTTGTGTCTTTTTTCAACCTGACTAACTATGTAGCTATGTAGTTCCTCTACAGGTTGGAGTCAGTGGCAGAACTACTAGGGTCACAGCGGTCACAGCTGCAACTGGGCCCTGGTGCTTCACTTGCAGTGTGCTGCATGACATGTACCTTAGTAGCACACTGCGATGGAACACTTCACTCATTAGCACAGTCCAAAGATCACTGTAGTGTAGTTAAAACCTCCTTAAATTGTATTTTTCTTCTAAGATTTAAGCACATAATTAGTTTAGACAGTCGTATCAATAGTTTTTCTAAAATAAATCATCAGTACTTGGGTTTAAAAGAGAACTATGAGGTGAGTGATTTTCACCTCAACCTCATAGTTCGAGCCGACGTGTGACAATGAAACTGTCACACGTCGGCTCAATAGATCGGGAAATGAGCGAACACATACCGTCGCTCGCTCACTTCTCGATCATCTCCCTGCAGAGAGCCGTGACTGTCACTCACGGCTCACTGCAGGGATTCTCCCCTCCCCGCTCCGATACTCCATCGCTGACTGGCGGAATGGACTGGGGAGAGGGCGGGTACAGCTGGCTCTGCCTCTAGATAGGCAAAGCCAGCTGTCACTCACGCAGCTGTGTGCATCTCAAAACTATTGTTGGGATCCGTCCCGGCTGCGGCGTTCTCAGTATACCACGAGCTGCAGCTTGTGATATACTGAGCTTTGGCACATGAAAGTATGTCCTGTTGCACGCCGAATAAAAAATTTACCTGTATGTCAGGCGGATGCTTGAAGTGGCCACGGATGGCACCGTGCACATATCACAAAGTCCAAGAATGTTACCAGCACACCATTTAAACATGAAACAAATTCAGGAGAACTATGGGGAAAAAAAATTACCCCATAGTTCTCTTTTAATTGCAGGGTTGGCACTTTGAGACACTTTAGTTGGTTTAGTGATCCAGTTTCGGCATTCGGGCTCAAAAAGGTTTGCAATCACTGATTTAGGATATCATCGGAATTCCAGATTTAGCAGAGCTGGTGCCAGCTGCATTATTTCAGCTTTGCATAGTGGCAATGGCAAAAAGGAGGATAAATATGAATTTTATAGACTGCCAATCCAAATTTTCCAAATGAGCCATTCCTCTTGTTGATTGCATGTGTCTTGTGAGTCAGAGAGGCACCAGTCTGATGAATGGCTAGAGGAGAAGGATATTGTTTAGTACTTTTTAAATAGCAGATATTGGATTACTGCTCAAAATAAGAATTTTACAATGTGGTAATTACAGATACAGCTGTGTCACCTAAGTGCAATTGTTTATTTTCTGTTTATTCTTGGAAACCAATAAAAGCAAGGAATATATTTACCCATTATGTTGGCTGACTGATACAGATAACTTTTTTAGTTACCTGTTTAGGATGAAAAACAGATTACATATCTATTTCTCTTGTATGTAACCTTTACACTTTTGTTATTTCATTGTAGGAAAATTGGAGTGCATTTGCACCCGACTTTAAGGAGCTGGATGAGAATGTGGAATATGAGGAACGTGAATCAGAGTTTGATATAGAAGATGAAGATAAGAGTGAACCTGAACAAACAGGTAGCAAATTAATTATTCAATCTCTGAACTTCTAGTGCAGGGGGGGACAAATTAATATGGGTTTCAGGAGCCAGTCTGTTCAATCCATGACACAGCAGGTTTTTTTTTGTACAGACAGGATGGCCGCTGGCTTAACTCTTCAAAAGAAACAGGCTTTGAATACCACATTGTTTTACTTCAGTTAAGTGCAATACAAAGGATGTTTTTCCAGTCTTTTAAAGTGTAAGAAGACAATGACATTCCTAAACCGTGACTCTTCGAAAAAAGTGAAACTAAACTGGGCAACCATAAAGGAGTAGGGAATGTATAGCTAGGTACTGTACTAACTAGAGACAAACAGGAGGGGTGAATAGTGGATCATACCGAGGGCAATGTGTTGCAAAAATATATAATGCAACACATTGCAACAACAATACAAACATATGCAGGGCTATTCACACAAGGGTAATTAGTTTGGAGAAGGCAAGAGAAGTAAACAATCTAGGCCAAAATAGCTGATTTGGAACAATTCTCCAATTCAGCTCACTTTCCAGTTCAGCTATGTTGTCCTAGATTGTTCACTTCTCCTCCAGTCTTCTCCAAACTCTTCACCCTTTTGTGAATAACCCTGATGATATGTAGGACACAACCGTAGTTCTGCAGAGCTTGGGACGTGTGGAAAAAGGCCAATTGTGTTTGCTCTTTATACATGGAGATAGAGAGTTGGTGTAATTCTCCTGCAGTTGTAAGATTATAACCAGTAAGTGGCATGATTTACACGGTGTGACAGGAAATGAATATCCTTTTAAATAACATTTCAAATATATCTAAAGGCAAAACTTTTTTTTTTAGTTTGGAATTGTGTGGAAGGATTTTAATTTGCCACCAAACAGGCATTACAGGGAGATCTAATGGGGACACTTATTTCGGTGTCAACCTTATAAGAAATTTAACTCGCTTTTAAAGAGATTTGTTCTCACTTGCTGTTGTGTCCTCCAGACAGGAAGTGAAGGGAAGCCTCTTGATTGGGACACAGATGGCAAAAGAAAAACTGACAGGGTTTTTAGCTGATCCCTTAAAGTGATATCAAAGTCAAAATATTTTTTAGCTATTTCAAATGCTGATTAAATCACTTACAATGGATGCTGCCCCTGATGTTTAAAAGTTTTCTTACGGGCAGAATCAGCTGGCCCTGATATCCTGTTTTAGGGGGGCTCCTTTCCCTTGCACTGTCCTATGGAGCCACCCTTGTGTGTGCTATTAAGCTGTGTTTCTCCAAAAAAACGCAGGCATAGCAAAGCAAGATACTTCTCTTCTCTATGCTCCCCACTCCTCTTCCCTCCTCCCTTCCTCCAAGCTAGTAGATAGACAGCTGGTGGAGACTGTGCTCTCCCTTGTGACCTTGTACATGAGAGCAGGTTCACGAAAGCCAAACGGAGAGCTGGAGACCGCTGTTGAAACCTGATGACTGTAAGTGCTTGGGCAAAATTTTCAAAGAAATACTTTGCTGGGCAATGCACTGCAGTGACGGAGCACGTCTGCCCCCAGCCGAAGCCCCGCCCCAACATCCCCAAGCTAGTGTAAAGGAGGAAGGGAGGGGCCTCCCTGTCCCTCACTTGCTCCTCACTGCTGAGGCGCTCCGTCCATGACAGGTTACACAACGCAGACGATTTCCGTGCTGTGTAACCTGTTAGATGCCGATCTGAATGGAGAAAAAGCTGTCAACTTCAGAAATGAAGCTGACAGCTTTTTCCTCCATAATTCTAGGTGAGGCTTTGCCTCCCCTGACTGCACGTCCCTGATGTACTGTATATTTTATTGATCTGGATGGATCCCTGATGTACTGTATATTTTGATGATCTGGATTTATTATGACATATTATATTATATATAAAACAAAATTTGAGAATTTGACTAGATACTAGATTAATTACTAGAGGTCAATGATGCAGTGGTGCATATGATCTGCATTTGAATCCTGCTTTTTAACAACTTTAAGCTGTTTTTAATTGCATTTCAAATCCCATTATTTTGTATGCGGTGAAAAGCAGTCTTAATGCTAACAAATGTACAGGCTTTGTCATGAAAATGTGATGTGTTGCTAACTAATGTGGTATGATTAAGTACTGATTAGCATGAAACAAACCACTTCTGTGTCTTCATGACTGAGCCTGGACTAGTGTAACCAGACTTAAGAGCAGTGTGCAAGCTTTCTTGAATATTTGCTGCACTGGAACTGGGAAAGGCTTTTTGCTCGGCACCAACCTGTAGAATTCATAAACAGTGGTGTCCAATTGCACTTAAAATGGCTGATTAAGTGGCTCATCACAGAAAACAGGGGCGAAAACAAAATGGCTCAGTATGTATGTTCCTTGTATGTATTTTGGTTATACTTTTTATTGTGTCATAGTTTTAGTTATTTTATGTATAAAGCTTGCATGCGATGCTGCGCAAGTTGTTTTAACAGTCCTTTTCTTAATCACTAGGAGGAGATGCTGCTGAAGATGAGGAGGTAGATGTGACGAGCGTTGACCGTATTGCTGCTTTCTGCAGCAGGTATGTAATTGTAACTAACCCATTCATTCCTTTGCAAGGCAAGCACATTTCTGTAATTGCCTACATTCACTTTAAAAAAATAAATAAAGCTGGTAATACACGTTTTAAATTTTCTTGTTCAGCCTCACTGGCCGAAACTCGAAATAAACGCTTGATTCCCCCATTCATGCTAAACGGCGTAAGTGGGGGGAGGTTTTTTTTTGTTGGCTGTTGTATTTTCAGCCTCACTGTCAAAATACCCAAACAGTGACTGCAGCTGATTGGCTGCAGTCACTGTTTGGCCAACAGCCTGGCTCCTTCCACAAAAGTCGTTTAAAAAATTTGACACGTTGTGCTGGCAGGGCAATGCATAGATCGAATTTCAGCCGATTCAGTAGGAACATTCTGAAATTGGATACGTGTATTGGCTAGCTTTAGGGTGCCTATATGCATACCTATTTTTGGACATGACCCATGGGACACCTGAATTTTATTTCTGCAGTAACTTTGTCATTACTTATGACAAGGCAAAACGTATATCGTTTTTCGGTCAAACAAGAATTTTTTTTTGATTTTTGTTTTGCAAAAATGCAATCTATAGACAGAAAAAAAAAAAAAACTAAAAAAAAAATGCTCTTTTTTTTTTTTTTTACTACTTTGATCAGCGTTTAAAAAAAATGTTTCTGTAAATAAAATCATACATTTTATTCCATGATTTCCTGTTTAAAATAATACTAAAATGATGTTACAGCTACCTTCAGTTGATTGCACATTGACAACAAAGTTGTTAGGACAGCCCCAAATAACCTCCCCGCTCCTAGCAAGCTTCAGTTTTGTTTTTTCTTCAACACTTTACTAACCTGGGTGCTTTTGTTCAGCAGAAGCAACCATTCTTCAAATTTGGTACCACTTTCCTGGATCACTGTGGGTGGACCTGTGCCAGGTCACCATGGCAGACCACCACCACTGCACCTGTGCACCCTTGTTGGCTTGTACAGCTCTTACTCGCGCCATCTTGGAGACAGAAGTCTGCAAGTTCTCACTTGCCCTGTTCCCTACTGCACAAGACGATCTTTGCACATTTCCTAGGTACGACAGCCTTCTGTGCCAGACACAGGATGGCTTTCAACCCCTTCCTCTCTGTGGTGTTGGTCATTAGTACCCCTGGAGGACCCATCACTACAATAATAACACATCACATATTTGCAAGAACTTGCGCTAAATGGAAAAAATACTAGTATTAGGTGGATAAATAAAATATAATATATAACCCAAGAACTAAAAATTTACAAAAAGCTGATTTCTATAAATGTTGAAAGTGTACGTAAAGCTGCTGGACTCAGGCACTAGGCCCCTATAGTGAAGATGTGTTAAATAGTACAGCGCTAAACGTCCTTCAGTGATAGATATACGAAGATCAAACTGTTATGATCCCAGCATGAAGCATTCATAAGAAAATGTATGAAAAATTGTCAATCACATCTATATAAATGAAGTGAAAAAAATGACAGTGTGTGAAAGGATAATGATCCAAATTGAAACAATGTGTAAAAGACGACTGTTCAGTAGACAGAAAAAAATATGTATCAATTATACACCTTGAAAAATACGTGTTTTAAATCTAAAAAAGTGTTCAAAGCATGTGTCTTGTGTGTAAATTAAACAACATATCAATGAAATGTAAACAACACTCTACATAAAAAACACTGCATAAAAACTGTGTAGATAACATTGATCTAAAAATGTATTAATAAAAAATTAATTAAATATATGTGTGTGTGTAGTCAAAATTGACTGAGTCTTTCAAAGTCTTAAAACCCAATAAAGGCAAAAAAGACTTCCACAGTGAAATCGGGTGCGTATTCCAGTTCAATGGAACTGGACGAAAATCCAGAAAAAAGACCAAGGGAATGCACTCACCAGATCTCTGATGTTTAAGAGCCGTTTGTCTCGTCAGATGGTAACCGGAGCTGTGTATCCTCTTCTCCCGCTCAGTGGAACTCCAGGGAAAGAAAAAGAAAAACAATGGTGTTGGCAATTAGAGTAGTGATTTTGCTATATTTCTAGTAGTGAAAACCAATTGACATATATATCGACAGATAATACATCAGTTAAAGAGGACAAGGAAAAATACAATGCAATATAGGAATACATTACATATATGCATAAGTCTATACATACATATACATAACCATATAAAGTGAAAATGTTATGTGTAATTCCACCAGTAAATAACAAATGAATAACTTGTGATTTTATATGACAGGAAAAAGGCAAACTATAGCAAAATATAAAAAACTTTATGGTTTAAGGTTGATATAAAACCATAATAGTGTGACAAACAGGAGTGGGAAAAATATTCCGTAAAAGATTTCATTAGTAGAATTTATAATCAGATGTATTGAACAATTAATTAAAAGCTAATGAAAATAATATTAAACTAGGCAAAATATCCTAAAAAAACCGGTTTCTTGTGTCAGTTCTAATATTGGTTAAATCCACTGACAACTTATTGGTTATTGTGATCAAGGAATACATTTATGGGAAGAAAAAATATATTTATAGAAAGACATTTTTTTTATATATTAATATTAGAATCGCCATTATTATTAACATTAAAAAATGAATGAAAGTATCCTAACAAAGTCAGTAGCTCGGATATTCGTATATCTAGAAACATAATGAAATCGGGCAATATAAAGGGTTATTCTTAAAAAAGGGGTTAATATTAAAAATATTAATATTAAAAATATCCAATATTAAAAAACCCAATATAATATATATATATATATCCCTACTGTATAAAATTCTTCAAACGTAATTGGATCGGGGCATGGAGACTCAACTTGTTTCTGGTCTTTTCAATCATTTCTCAAAAAACAATTGAGGTCATATTCTATATTAAGGCCTTTGGGCGTCATTGTATCCAATAGGAAGATCCATTTCGATTCATTTTGGGAGATTTGCCTAATAACATTGGATCCTCTCCAGTGGCCTTGGATCTTATTTATCCCTAATATTTTTAATCCACTAGGGTCCTTGTTATGAAATTCTTTAAAGTGTTTGGATACACTGTGTTTATGATAGCCTTTTTTGATGTTATTTAGAGAAATTTCTTAGCAAACGAGATTTGGAAATAAAAAATAAAAAACATAAAAAATACATACGTGACATGACAGATTTTAAACATGGAAATATATATAGATGGCAATCCATAGAGGGGGGAATTAATAGTTGTGAAAGTAGTCTCAAGGATCAGAATAGCATCTGGGGGTTGGGGTTGGAGAGAACGTCATCTGACCCCACAATTACAAAGAGGGAGGTTCAGAAATACAAGAGGACGAGGAGGGGCTACAGAGAGGGGGGAAGAGTGTATATACACAGAGAAAACGGGATATCTAGGAAAAGGAATATTTAATATTAGTTCAGCCACACTGACCACAGAGGAGGAAAATGTTCTTAACCTAGGGTTGAAATTTGCCCCAGTCAATAACTTAAACAAATTTAACACTTATATAGACATTCAGAAATTCGTAAGGAAACTGAACATTAAAAAATATTATGCCACAATTCCAACCATTGCGTCTAATGCGCCAACTGCCGTTAGTAGGACATACACACATACAACGCTAAAAAAACAGTCAATCTTTAATCCCAAAAATAATTCAAACCATTTTGTAGAAGTCTTCAAAAATTTGGTGGAAGAAGACGTTAAAACTATGCAATTTAAGTTTGCTAAAAATAAAATGTTTATTAACAAAGGGATTGAAAATTTAGAAGCTAGAAAGGATATAATTATTAGACCTGGAGATAAAGGAGGTGGGGTGGTTATAATGGATAGAACATATGAAAGGGAAATGAACAATATACTTCAAACTAAGGATACATACAAGAAATTAAATAAAAACCCATTAAGTGGATTTAAAAAGGAATTGGATAAATTAATTCGAAAGGGCTATAAGTTTGACCTTCTAAATAAATAAATAATTCAAACCATTTTGTAGAAGTCTTCAAAAATTTGGTGGAAGAAGACGTTAAAACTATGCAATTTAAGTTTGCTAAAAATAAAATGTTTATTAACAAAGGGATTGAAAATTTAGAAGCTAGAAAGGATATAATTATTAGACCTGGAGATAAAGGAGGTGGGGTGGTTATAATGGATAGAACATATGAAAGGGAAATGAACAATATACTTCAAACTAAGGATACATACAAGAAATTAAATAAAAACCCATTAAGTGGATTTAAAAAGGAATTGGATAAATTAATTCGAAAGGGCTATAAGTTTGACCTTCTAAATAAAAAGGAGAGGGATTATTTAGTCCCTTCCACTTGCCGTACACCTATTCTCTATTTTTTACCTAAAATACAGAAAAATATAGAGAACCCTCCGGGGAGACCTATTGTAAGCGGAATAGATTCCCTAATGTCCAGAGAATAGACTATTTTTTACAGCCATTAGTGGTCAAAACAGAAGCCTTTTTGAAAGATAGTAAAGACATTCTCAATATCCTACAACAAATAGAAATAAATGGGAATTTGGTGTTGGCCACTATTGAGGTAAATTCCTTATACACGGTTATCCCACATCAAAAAGGGCTTGAAGCAATTCAGTGGGCATTGGATAGGTTTAGCACATTAAAACACAAACAAAAATAATTTATTCTGGAATGTACCAACTTTGCCATGTGTAAAAATTATTTTTGGCATAATGGGGAATTTTATTTACAAGAATAAGGCGTGGCAGTGGGTGCTAAATTTGCCCCTAGCTTGGCGAATTTATACATGAGTAAATGGGAGGAGGAACATATTTTTAAGCATAAATCAAATAATGTCATCTTATGGAAAATATTTATTGATGACATTATTGTAATTTGGGAAGGTGATAAAAACCTATTCACCACTTTTATTGAAGATATGAATTCTAATGCTTATAATCTTACATTTACGAGTAATATTAGTGATACCAATATTCAATTTTTAGATTTAGACATATCTCTAAGAGGAAATTAGATTTGTAA